CAATAAGCTCAAATTTTCAGATTAGCACTTCGTATCTGAAGCTAAAATAAGCAATTTGGAGAAGCTTCCTTTGCATGAAGGAACTGCAGCAAACTGGGGTGTTTCGTTGTTTTATTTACTCCTTACTAGTTCAATTACTAATTCAATTGCAGCTGAGAAAACAAGAGCGAGCTTATATTTACAGAAGCTACAAGGCCACGGTAAAAACAAGAATGCTCCATAAACAGCTGAGAATTCTAAAAAACATCCTTTGTGTAGGGCAGCACTTTCAGACATACCCAATATTACTGAAGGTGGTGTTTAATAAAATAGATTTGTCGAAGCCATCCAAGAATGCTGTATCAAACTAGACCTATTGCTGGGGGGTGGAAAAGGGAAGGAAATAACCACACACAACTCCAAAATTGATCTGCATCTGCTTATCATGAGACTCTTTGATCAAGGGGAAGGCTGAACTGACACCCTTGGAAAATGGGTATGATATTAAAGAAAGAAATGACCAAGGTCAGGCTGGATGTGGCTTTGGGCAGCCTGCTCTAGTGGTTGGTGACCCTGCACATAGCAGGGGGGTTGAAACCAGATGATCTTTGAGGTCCTTTTCAGCCCAGGCCATTCTATGATTCTATGAACTTCAGTGTCAGCAGGAGCAAACATCCTGTATAAGTTCATAGGCAAAAAATCAACGTATATACTAACTTTATATCACACAATTAAACTTTGGTTTAGTAAGTGATGTCCTAATGCATTTTACTATTTACTGAAGACAAATGTTTAGCAAAACTGGTACATAAGTGAGAACTTTGACGATGCCTGCTTGCATATTTATCCGTTTTACCTGAAACCTGAGTTCAGAGGAACTGCTAAACTGTGTTTTTATTTAAAAAGGTAACAAATACAGAAGTTCTCAACCAATCTTAATATTCAAACTCCTTACCACATGTGTCAGCCTTCACTCACCTGGTTTGTCCCCTCCCCCATTATTTTCAGACTCATATCCTTAAAATCTAACAGCAGCTCAGAAGACAGACCTTGGACTTGGTCCAAAGCACATGAAACGTGATGAGCATTTTTCTATGTGTGTTTCATGTATTCACATATCAGCAACAGATTATGTTAAATAGGGAAGGGGAAACTATACTGAGCCAAGTCAGGATGTAATGTTTGGCTTAAGAGTACAGTCTTCTGTGATACTCCTCACATAATTCTGACTCCAGAGACGTTCCTTCATCTCGCTATTAAACACTTAAAAACATCCAGCCATGACATTTTCCACATGTAACTGCATCTGTGCAAATTCTGCCCGACTGCACAGACCTGTTGGGAGTTTTCACCCAATCAAGGAGTCACTACAGTCCTATTTAACATTACAGCTCCTTAAACAAGCCGGTGAGGCTACTTCTCTGAAGACAGAATCATTTTGCTTGCTGTACACGTGATCACTCATCGAGTAAGGGCACAATTCTGCCAGGAAGCATGCAAGTTGACCTCCTCTGCTGCGTCACTTCTCCTGTTACTTTCCTCTCATCTTAAGACTTCTCTTCCTGCACGCTGAAAAGAGCTGGCGTTCTTTATAAACCAGAGGACAGGGAAAAGGCAACTTGCCACTTACAGACAATACTGGACCGTGCTACATAAAGTGTTTTAATTGACAAACGCCACTTTGCTGTAATTTCAGAAAGCAAGCTTAGAGGTTGCCACCATCACTGTAATAGGAGTTCATTAAGCTGGTGGTATGAAATCTCAACTTTTCCCAGAGCTACATCCAGCCCCTATGCTTCCACACTGAGATCTGAGTTTAGAAACAGACTGAGATGAAAACATCTGATTATAACTTTTTATTCCATCCCATTAGCACAGCAACAACTGAGCCAAAACAATGTCTTTCCACTCATGAGGCTTTTGTGATTTAGAGTCTGCCAGGTTTCCTGTTATACCTCCTTTGACTTGTTGCTACTGTACTCCCCATTTTCCAAACCCATCTCATTAACAGTGAAACCAACAAGTAATTTAGCCCAGAGATTAGAGAGGCCTTAACGTATTAGCAATGGGAACAGCAGAAAAAAAAAGAAAAAAAAGCCTAAGAAACTGCCCCAAGTTCACAGTTAATGAACAGAATGGTTGAGAGGGAACACCAAGAGATGCAGTGCTTCCACAATAGTTTCCATTTACAGCAAACCCATAAACTGATTTGGTTTCACTTCATGTGCCTTGCAGACTGCCAGCAGTCAGAAGACAGCAGTCCTACTGCTGAAAGCCACACAAACTACATGCACCAATTTAAGCCTGAACTGAAATAAACACGTAAAATGAAAAGCCTCCTACCAAAAAATTCTAAGAACCAAAAGAAAAAAAAAAGAAAGCTATTAAAAGTCAAAATCAAACATCAAGGTGGTTTCAGACAAGGAAAACTCCCGTTTGCTGAAAACACATTTCCTCCCCAGGAGCTGCTGGGAAGTACTTTGAAGCTAGATCCTCTGCTCCATTATCCAGGCCACCCTCGTGCTCACACATAAAAACTGTTTTTGGCTGTGCACATTCTATGCTACCTCACTCCATCCTGAAGTCAGTGGAGGAAAAATAAAAAAAAAAAACAACCAGAGCAGGCTTTGGTTGTTGTTGTTTGTTTGTTTTTTTTTTAATCTGAATGATCTAGAATTAATATTAATTAAGCAGATGCCATACAGCTCCTCGTGGGACCTGGACTTAAACGCTCTGCTTGTTTATTAGCCTTTGCTTAGTATTTAAAGCCAAGCCACTCAGCCTGGGAAAGTCTTCATTTACTTACATACCATGACTAGGATGAAACAATCAGGGAAGCTTCCAGACGCCAAACCTACTTCCCAGCTATCGGTACCTACAAAGTCTGGAAGTTACGTTAAAAAAAAAAAGTACTGTTCTGCTGCCTCATGATATTTTAACGATCATTTCCTTTTATCATCTCTGTACACCACCCTGACCCATATTAAACAGGTACTCTGGCTACATAAGGCACAGCATGCAAGCAAACGCTCACGTCAGCTACGACTACACTACTACTACTACTTCTGTTATCTTCACCTTTCTTGCCATGCCATCCACGATGTCTCTGGAAAGCCATCTGTGTAAGAAGCCACTTCAGTGAATGGCTACAAATACAATCAAACCCACGGTTTTGCCATTAAGTTTCCTTTTACACAAACTCTTGAACGCTGCTGTTCCATACAGCTGATCTCAATGCTGAGCAATCAGCCAACACATCTCCTGTGGCACCAGACACCCACACTTCATGCAAAACCCAACAGACCCCGTCAAAGAGCAGCCAAACATCTGTAGGACTGCTGGATCTCAGTGCAATACTTCTGCACACGATTGCGGCTGCCAATCTCCCTTTTCAAAAGCTTTGACCAACTTGATGCTCACTTTCCTAAAAACAGATACTAAAAAAAAAAAAAAAAAAAACAAACACCCACAACCAAATAAACACTGAACCTCATCAGTTGTTAACTGAGCCTGAACTGCAGGCAATGGGGGCCTTCTGCTACTAAGGGGATGAAATGTTTTCTCATATCAACTTCTATGGGAAAAAAATACTTTTTTTTTCTCCTAGACAAAGCCATCACTAGCATAGCCAAGTCCTTCTTTAGTCCTATCAGATGCTTGCATCCCTTTCTTCTTGCTCATTTTAAATCTTAAGTCAAAGGAAGAAAACACCATTAAAAAAAAGATAGAAAAACCTTAGAAATAAACGTTCAAAGAAAAACGTGAAAAACGTGGGGCTGGTTGGAAGATGCTAACAAAAGAAGGATGTTAAACAAAAGAACAGCACCACTAAAGCAACCGTTCAGTTGAAACGTTACAGAATCAAAGCTGCTCAGCCCAGCGGCTCTGCGTGACCACCGATGCAAATAGCAGAGAGGCTCAGGTCCTCATTCGCCTCTTCCAGCGATACCTACCTGAAACGACCACATTAAGCGGCAGCGAGTTGTCAGCGCTTCCTCGAGCTCCTTTCAGCGTTACATTTACACGGCGACGGCTTCGGAGAATCCTCCGGACGGGAGCGAAACGCCCAGGGCTCTCGAGCAGCCTTCACCCCGGCCGCGAACCCACCCGCACGCCTTCGGGCCGATCCATCCCCGGGCCGACCCATCCCCGGGCCCCCTCGCCGCCCGCCCCCCCGATGCCCCGGTTCCCCCCGTCCACTCGGACGGCGCGGACACAAAGCGTAGCGCCGCGGGGCTCCCGCTCCCCCCACCCCGCACACGCCGGGCCGCCCCCGCGCCTTTCCCCGGCGCGAGCAGAGCCGTGCCGCCGCTCCAGCCCGCCACGAGGCCGGCGCGGTGCTGCCCCCTTCCCGCCCTCGCGGCGGGGCCCCGCGGGAGCCGTTATGAAAGCGGAGCTCCGGGGCCGGCCGCGCGCCCTTCTCCCCGCCCGCCGTACCTCGGAGACCTCTTCTTCTTCCTCTTCCTCCTCATCCTCCTCCTCCTCCTCCTCCTCGCTGCCGTTGTTGCTGCTCTCGCTGCCGCCGCCGCCGCTCTCGCTGCTGCTGGCCGGCCGGCCGGCCCGCCCGCCGCGCTTCGCCTTGCCCGGCGCCTTCTTCTTCAGCAGCAGGTCGCACACCCGCACCAGCCCCCGCGGCGCGGCCGCCGCCGCCTCGGCCGAGCAGGACGGCGGCGAGGAGCCGGCCTCGCCGTTCGGCCCCTCCGGGGGACCGGGCCCCGCCGTGGCGCTCCCAGCGTCGCCGCCGCCGCCGCCGCCTCCCTCCGCCGTCTTCTCCATGGCCGCCCACGCCGATCCGCCCCGGTGAGGAAGGAGGAGGCACCCGGGGCCGCCGCCGCCTCGGTCACCTCTAGCGCCGGCGCCGCGCCACCTCTCGCGATACTTGTCGCCGCCGGCCGCCCGCCCGCACCCGGCGCCGCAACGTCCGCGCCCGCCCGCCCCCCGTCGGCCGCCGCTTCAGCCTCGGCCGCCGCCCGGCTCGCGCGGCCTCGCGCCGCGCCGCTCTCCCCCCCGCGCCTGCCCCGTCGCGGAACCCTCCTGGCCGCGACCCCTTCCGTGCGCGCCGCGCTCACCGCCCCGGCTCCGGAAGAGCTTCAAACGTCATCACCGGCGCCGGCCGGCCGTTTCCGCCCTTTCGCCTCGACTCGCGGCCGCGCTCGCCCCGCCCTCCCGCCGGCGCGGCGGTCTCGCTCCTCGCTCCTTCCGTTGGCGGCTACCGTTGGTGCGCGAGGCGGCCCGGCGGTCCCGCTCGCGTTCCCGTCGCCTTTTGCCCCCGGTAGTTTCCCCACGCGTACTTCAAACGACGAGCTGCAGCGCGCGGTACGCGCCAGCTGGACGCTGTGCGTTCCGAAGCGGCCTCTCCGGTTCTGCCGTGCAGCGAAGCCCGCAGCGTCACTAACAAAACAGGCAACGCCGCGGTGCCGCTTTTACCGTGCGCTTAGGGCCGTGTGCTTTCGGCTGTGCCGCCGCTCCCTGCTGCCAGGCCCCTACCCGACCCCGACGTGCACGTGGGACGGGAATTCGAGTACTCTGTTTTCTTGTTTCCTCTGGAAAACATGGTAGCTTCCGCTGCGTGGTGCTGGTTAATCCTAGCGTTAACAAAAGTCTTGTGGCCCCCGAATGCAGGCCACCGATCCTTAAAAGAATGGGGATCTGCTACTCAATGTTTTTTAAGAGTTGATGGAAATCAGTAAGGAAAGTGTTTTTTAACCACAGGAGCACGTGAGTGTGTGCACTGACAATGGCTGGTAAACCAGCGAAGTTTTGGGCTTAGTTCTATTTTCCTAAAGCCCAGCCTGAACCTCCTCTGGCACAACTTAAGGCCGTTCCCTTTTGTCCCCTCCCTGTTATCTGGGAGAAGAGGCCAACGCTTTACAAGAGCTTGTATTTCATTTCCTTCATCTTAAGTGCTGTCTTTTGTCTTATTTGGATAAAGTTAGAGCCAGCTGTGTCTGCAGCACTTCTGAAATGAGCGTTTGTTCTACAGAATTCTCAAATAACTGATGTTTAGCATAAAAGCGCACCTGCAGAGCTTCCCCCAGGCCACAGCCCACCAATATCTATGCTCTTAATAACAAGACTGCATTCATGCATTCCGCAGCACTATGAAGTTACGGCATTATCTGCAAGTCACCTTGCTCCAGATGTCACTCCTAATTTTCAGATGTGAGACTCAGAGTTAAAGCAGGTTTATAAATAGCTCTGTAGATGGCAGTTTGGGGGTGATCCAGGAGAAAGAAGCAGACTGATGTAGCCACCTCACTCCTACCTCCTGCTGTGACTGTACAAAAATCACAGAAACAAAACACATTGGCAGATCTGTCAGAATAACAGTTCTGTCCTCTCGTGTGGAACCTGTGGATTTTTACTGTTGTGTCGTGGAACACAGGCACAAGTTAAGGATTCTGTTTTGTCGTAGTCACAACAAACAGAATTTTAGGCTAATACAAGTAAACTCACTCCTATCTCCTGATGTTGCTGTAGTATGTGTGAAAAACACAGTGCTTATTTTTAAGAGACCTGACTGGGTCTTTATAGTTTGATCTAAGAAGCAACTGATTTCTTTAACAGAAGATTTTACACAAGAAAAGCACATCTTAAATCTCTTTGGCTGTCTGAGCACCTGGCAGATGGTCCAAGTGCACCAAGATCTGAGCTGTTAGCAGGGAGCTGCCCTCCCTGTCTCTCAGCACTGCAGTGTGAGGTCAGGAAGTGGCACTGAGGGATGCGTCCTCTGCTGAGCTGGTCTCAGTCAAACAGGGCTGCAGCAGCGCTCAGTTTGGTTCTGTTACAAACCTGCATTTTAGTTCATATATTATTCCAAAGTAATCATTTAAAATGGTAAGCTTGATGGCTCAAGCCTAGTTTCTTGCTAATGGAGGCAACCGTGTAATTTTATCAGTCAGTATTGTATTATTGAGCCCTGGATAAGGTTGAATAATTACAAAGCGCTGCTCTTCCTGGCACAAACAGCATGGCCTATCGGAGGCTATTTGTTCAGTTTCTTTTATGATAGCAACCTCTGCTCTGATCAAAGAGTTGCTCCTTCTAATCTTGCAGAGTAGAACAAATTGTTTTCCTCCATTTTTATAAAACAGAGTTTCTACCTCCTCTCCCTGCTAGTTTGAGCCTCATATGACTGCAGCAGCAGTAAAAGCACTTGTAGCCTTTGGAGAAGCCTAGTGTTAGATTCATCATGCTGGTAACCTGTTGGTTTGTTGTTTGTTTTTTTTTTTGTTATGGGGAGAAGCTGCTCACAAAAGTCAGGCATGAATCATAGTGGATTAAACGAGAACATTTTGGGAAGGCGTGAAATTTCATTCAGTTACATAATAGCATTTTATATTTCAGAACCCCCAAATAAAACATTCTTTTAGATACCATAATAATCATCAAGACTTGTTTATGAGGAAGGACAAAATAATTAAGGTATTTTTTCTTGTCTCCCAGTTTCCACGTGAGTGCATAACCCAACGGTGTGTTTGCCATTCACTGGGCTTTGAGGCAATGGCTTACAATAGATCTAACAGGATCTAATCGGGAAAGTAATGCCCAACAAACACATTTCCTTTTCTGAGAGTGCGAGTTTGAGTAACTTCAGACATTTGTTTTTGTTGCTAGCATAGAGCTGCAGAAAATCTTTAGAAAAATAATCATCCTTTGTTATCCCTTTCATTTGTGACCTCTACTTCAGTATTCAAATCTCTTTCAGCTATTGGCCTCTAATATCAAAAGTCAATAGCAGGAAAACCCAAGGTTTGCATTCAGTGCATGCTTTCAAGGACTGTCTTGTGTGGGGGAGATTCTTTAAAAAGTTCCGTGGGACAACTCATGTGCCTAAACCTACTGTGTGGTGTAAGCATCAGCATGGACGTGCTTTCAGTTTTGTTTATAACTACTGAAAGATGTATTATCGTTAAAATCAGGAAGCAGAGATATTGCTTTGCAGTTATAACCGATGCAAGAACTGGACAAAGTTAGTACTGGTTTTAGAGTCTTGGTAACCCTGACAACACGTGCAAGTACATAACATGCATAGCTTCAGACTGTACATCTGGTTTTTGCCTCTACCTCCCCTTCTGCATTGATTTTAAGTATGCACCCTTTTCTTCCTGGTTCATACATGGGTCTCCTAATTCAGCCCACTGTGCTGTGCATTCCAGCACTCCTAAACGGTCTGTACGCACTCATCTCGTACTTCTTATGTATTTTTCCCCTCCAGGGGGGTTTAAATGGTGATCAGAATGTCTGAAATTGAATCAGATAAGGGGAAAAAAGGTGAAAGAAAGCATCTCTTTCTTAATGCACTCCAATTAAAAAATGAATGTTGTCTTCAACTTTGATAACTTTTTTGACATTTCTGAGTTACTGAAATGCTTTTCTTTCTGGCAGAGGTTAATTTTTTTTTTTCCTCTAGTTTTGTTAAGACTTTCCAAATGTTTAACCCCCACTCAGAACTACTGCAGTTGCCACAAAGCTACATTTTCCTCATGTCTCTCTCCAGCCAGTTTCAGTAGCAGCTTTTCTATTCTAGTGAATACAACTGCTTTGGTCGATTTTCTGTAAGTGCTAAAGAACAACAACTTTTTAAAGAAGCTGAATGCGGTCAGCCTAACACCAACCCTCCTCATTTTTATCACTTCATCTCAACTACCTCTGGTTTTAATATTTGTGAGAGTAGGAGGAACATGGGAGGAGCACAGAAGTTATACATCTCCAGATGAGATGATTATTCAAATGAGATACTAAAAAGCTCAAATGGTGTCATTTTCATTAGTTATAGGATTGGTGAATTTGTGTCATTGGATGTCCCTAATGCTCACAGCTTTAATGGAATGAAACTGTTGTAACTTCTGTGTGTGTTGCAGCATTTTTATTCATGTCTTTCTGGGAACTGCAAACCCCAAATTGCTGTATTTCTTCATCATATATACCAAAAAGACAAGGTTGCTGCACCTCCTTGGTGCATAGCATTGTCTCAAAAAAGAAAAAAAAAAAGAAAAAAGGAAAAAAGATTAGGCCATGCATGCTTAATTATTTTAAACCGCAAAATTGAGTTTGTTCAGCAATGATGCAATTACTGCTATTCAAGTCAGAGGAAGAAAGGAAGAAGGAGAAGATGACAAATGTCTCCATATTGAGATAATTCCTTTTTCTGTGGTATATATTTTCAGATTGTTTAAAACTCAGTTTTAACAGTAGTATGTCATTCATGGGAAAGAAAGGTTATGAACTATTTTTATGCAGCCAAGGCAATTACTTTAACTTTTTTCAATATCTGTGTTTCTCCATTCCAGAATGCTTTCTGTGAGCTTCTCAGCTGGTGTGACTTTGTGAGTAAAGGAAGTCTAGGCAGATTCTGACTTACACAAGTTCAGCGTTAGCCTGGAAGAACTGCTGAGAGTCACAGCAGCAATGTTCATCAAGGGACTGCACCTCTCTACATGCAGAAGGTAAAGCACCAACATCAATGCTAACACTCAAATGCACCCAATACAAAGGCCCATTCAGTAGTGACTTCTGCCTTCACTTGTCATGGTAAGCCAGATGATTTTGCTGTTTGCCATGCTTATCTACATCAGTGTCCATTTTAAGTATACATACATATATATGTATATCCTGCTTTAGTGTCTTGAAAGTTATTCATCTTCCATCTCACATCCTGATACTAACATTCTGCTTGTTGCCATTAACACTTAGTACAACATTGTGCTAGTTCTGTCTCTTTCCACTTGTTTTTAATTGAGAACTTTAAAACAAGCCCAGAGAGCAAAACCTCCAGTGAATCAATCTTTCACTTAATGCTTGAACTTCAGTGTTTTTCACACTGACTTTTACAGACTCATCACCAATTCATACCCTGCTATGGACTGTCCCAGTACTACCAGTCTGTAACAGTGTGTTAAATTTTAAATTCTAAAGGGTTGATTAGGTAGTAATTGCTCTGAAGCATGAAGCAAGGACATTCGTTATGTAATATATTTAGTCATTTCTGAGTCTTTATCTTTAAGAAATTGCTTAACCTGTTGGAACCTCAAAATTTATTAGTAGCTTGTGAAACTTAATTTTTGTTAAAAAGATAAATCATTTTTGAAAGTAGATTTCTGGTTTCTGATTTGCTTCACATGTTTTCAAATGTGAGTATAAAATGGAAAAATCCCGTGGCAAATTTGGGCAAGTTTTATCTAATGAGCTTCTGGATCTCTTTTGGATTCTCTTCAAGTGCTATAAAAAATAAAAACCAAGAGGTTGAGTTACCAGTGCTTAACCTAGAAGCCTAATCTCTATATGGTCAGTGCAGAGAAAGGCTTTTTTGAGGGGGAATGTTTAGGTAGATCAACTTCTAATATGCTTTTCTGTATTAAACACTCTATGATATAGAGTGGTATAAATTTCCCCAAGTATTTGAATTGAAAAGGGTTCTGAACTGAAGCGACAGAACATGAGATCTACCCACAGTATAAATACAACCCTACTATCCATGTTCCTCTTAGCCATCAAAACACCTTTTCTGTATCATAACTCACTTAGGTTCTTTTTCTGAACTAGTCCTTGCTTTTTTTTCCTAGTGATTGAAATCTATCAGGAAATTCACCTTATGCGAGTTTTAGTTGTTGGGGCAAGAGAGAGAGTTGTGTATAGATAAATGTTCAAATGAATTTGGGAACTTTTTGTACAGTCACCAAAAATTGCCAAATACTAGTATGCTGTCTTTTTTTCACAAGCAGTAACTGAACAGCTGGAATATTTACTAGGATTGCACGAGTGGATCATTGCCATTCAGTGGCACAGCTGTATTCAGCCAGTGTACTCTGCAGTTTTGTATTATGGGTTTGTAACCTCAAGGTATGAGTGAGAGCTTTCAAGCCAATGCCAGCTGTATGTATGAACAAGTAATGTGGGTGGTTTTTTTTATTATTGCAATCATTTTAGCTAGTGCAGTGTATGGACTACACAAGAATTAGCGAGGAGGTTAAATATTTCTTCTTATATTTTGTGTTTTACTTTGAGTCTTGCCAGTCCTTAATGATAATTTCTACAGTAACCACTTTTTAAGTAAACAATTGATTAGTTCTGAAATTAGTCCTTGAAATGGCTTCTCTTTGTGCAGCTCAGGAAATCTTAACGGAAACAGCCTTCAGCTGGAATGCAGAACAACAGGGTTCAAGCTGTTACTTTTCTATCTTCATATAAAATATTTGTACTACTGGGCTAGCTTATCTCTGGACAAGAAAGGAGGTAACAATCTCTGTGCCTGAGTTTCCGTGAAAACTTTAGTAGATCTTTGTTTCAATGAAGGCAGCTTAAGAAACCTCTTCGCTACCTCAGAAAGTTACTTTAGATGGAATAAAAGCTATTTTTTTCCCCCCAGAGTTCTAGCAATAGCCACAAAAATAGTCTAAAAGCCCCCGATTGTCCCAAAGAGTCCAGCTACCTAGGATACTGTGGAGCCTCCTTTTTCTTTTTCCAAAACAATTTTTTCCATACCTTATTTATTTTGCAGTATTGCCTCCTGCTATCTGCCATTTTGTATTTGTATCAGTTCATTTCCTTTCAACAATTTATTGCTGATTTCTGTTCTTCTATTGTAGGGAGAGATTTGGATACACGTTTTAAAAAGATAGTTTTTTAGAAGAGGAAAGATCAAGCTTCCTGTCATTTTAGTTTGCTACAGTAGGTGGAGCTAGAATATGGTTAATTCATCTACACCTAAAACTAGTTGGACTCGAGGGCCACTATTGCCAAATTCTTACTGTTCCCACCAGCTGAGAAAAGAAAATTTATTAAAGCATTTCATTCTGTAGCATATACATTTTAATTTTGTTTCTCTAACCGTCAGAATATATAAAGCAGATGGTTTTTTGTTTCATTTATTTACAGCAGGTAAAAACACAGATATTTTGAGTGTGTGTGTTACGAAACACATTTACAATGCCATTGCCTTTCATGGGAACTAGTTACAAGAGTAAGTATTGCCTTGAAAAGCTTTGTGTTCCTGAATTAGCATTCATTTTAATGAGGATTTCACATTCATGGGAGGAAAAATACTAATGAGGTAAATTTTCATTTTGTCACCTGTAATTCTATTGTTTTCTTACTCAGCTACATTAGTTTAGTTATACTGCTAACTGAGGAAGTGTCACTAGAAATGAAGTACTTGAAAGTACTTGAAATGGGGACTGCAGCAAATTATGATACACATTCACCTATTGATGCAATGAGCAGACTGCATGTGTGCTGAAAGGTAAATCTGGATTATTAATTCTCAGTCGTGAATTTGGATACACAGACTCAGCCTCAAGTATCTCGTTTGTTTTCTCAGTTGTGTAATTTTCAACTGTGCACAAGGTACTATTTCTTAGTAAATAACATTGCATTCCAGAAGTATGTTTGAACACAAATTCATAAACTTAACTTCAAACACTGCTACAGCCTACCCATGTTTAGCAAAGCTCCTAAATTCCATTTAAGTTCAGTGAGATTTAAAACATCTGCTTCAGCCTATTTGCATTCAGCAAATCACTTGTATGTAAGTTCTACATATCCCAATTCCAACTCCTGCACACAGCTCTGTTGGCAGGTGATTGTTACTAGCTGGAAAAATCTATTCATAATTTTTAAAGAGCTGCACCTTATCAGTGTTACCTACTATCTTAAAGAGCTTTTCACATTCTTTATTTAAAGTGCCTTTCTTTAATTTAAAAAGATATATGTAAGATCAATGAAAAACTTTTCTGGTAGAAGTATTTTCAAAAGTGTTACACAAATACTTTCCAACAAGAACACCAAATAAACGGCACACTCTTATTAATCAGCAAGTCTAGTTTGCTACTGTTAAAGCAGCAACCTTTAGCCTCTTTGTTAAACTGCTCATATAGCAATTCTCTAAAATTGCCAATTTTTTTTTTAAGCTGTTTTGACATCTTCACATTCAGAGAACTCTAAGCACAAGGAAGAAGTCTGAGCCCCAAATTGCAACTCTTTAAAAAGAAAATTTCTCCTCATGGCTGGAAGAAAGACATATTGAGAAATCAAATTCAGAGACAGACCATAACTTTATAGCTGAATGCTTGGCCTTTTCCCTGTCCTGACACAGCAGCTTACACTGCAGATTTTGTACCCAAATTAATATCTGAACTTATGGCTATTATGATTTAATCTTCAGAAGCATTACTCTTAGTACAATAGTAAAGATAAGGTCATCCCAGATTTGTGTAAGAAGAAACGTGCTTGCAGCCATGAGAGTAAAAGTCAGCATACAGAGTAACTGTCCTAAAATACCAGCTTCTGTGGTTTTCTTTTTGTTTGTTTGTTTGTTTTCAGAAAGCTTGCCTTAACAATACAATCTTGCATTAAAATCTCTTATTTCATCATTTGAGAGTGGTACCTGATATTTTTGTGCTTCACCTCAGGAAGGATCTTTCTCAGAGCTGCACATATGTGGGTCTGTAAAAACTTACTTTAAGTGTTTGGGTTTGAAAAAATGGAAAGCTTTGGACTGTCAAGAAAATTAAAGGTTTTCATTTACAGATGTGAGGAGAGGCAAGAAAATTTGGATAAGTACTTCATATATGCTGAACTTAAATGTCTCAAAATAGCTATCTCCAAAGAGAGGGAAGATAAATAAGAAGTAGGAATGCTTTCAGGAACTTTACATGCTTTTCATGTAAATTCACAGAAGGAATTAATTTAAGTTTCTTTATATTGCAGCTACTTCTCAGGAGATGTATTGGAAAAGGCTTCCATAAACCTTCCCAAGTGTCCCTCTCAGATGGTTAATATGGTACGAAATCGCCTCAGTGAAATGTGTGCAATCTCAGAAATTATACTCCACATCACTGGGGAAGTCTAAATCATCAATTCGAAGAACTCACTATTTGCTGAACAAACCAAGGGTATTATTTGCTTAGCTTTATACCAACAAGCACTTGTCAGACTGTTTTTTGAGAGGTATTCATGCATCCCAGTTGCTCTGATGACTTGCCAGTCTCACAGTCTTCTCAACATCCAAGCTCTGCACTGCATCTCTATTTCAGAATTAGTTTTGGGGTGGAAAAAGACAACTCTGTAACAAACTCTTAACTTTCAATCACAGCAGTAACAGCACTTACAGTTTGATCTCATACACCCTGGCTTTTTTGGAGAAGCTCCTGGTGTGTTATGTGATGAGCTGCTTTCCATAGAGCATTGCCCTAGCACCCTGGAAGCCAACAGGAGAGGAAATATGATGTTATAAAAACAATGCAGTTTAAGCAAAGTAATTGAATATTTGATGTCTTTCTTTCTCTGAACTGTGTTTATAACAGAACAGAGCCAGCCTTTTCCATGGGAGATGAGTGTAAGTGTAAGACAACCCCAGCTGCTTGAAACCTCCATTCCCAGCACAAGGAATTAGTTCAAAAATATCAGAATACTTAAAAAGGAGCAAAACTAGTGATAGGATTATGTGAAGGGCACTTACTTTTGTGAGAAGGCTCATGTTGTGGACTCATGCTAGCACACCCTGCAGTAATCTAAATGGAAAAGTATCCTTAGCT